ATTTCAGGGGAGGCCAGTAGCTGTACCGCAAGGGCAAAACGCTCAGGCAACGAAGTGCAGGCGCGGCCTCTTCATATACTGCCCAGTTGATAAGCCTGATGAGCTGCACCTGTCCCTTCTCCAGCACTTCCAGGCAACGGCACCTGGCGGTAAAATGGTTAGCTGCAGGCAGACACACCACGGATTCTGACAACTAGATGTTAAAGACTGTTTAAAACGTTACCATGGTAATTGTTTTTGACTGTTTTAGAGGGCCACTGACAGCAGTAAGGCTAGAAAAATACTTTAAATTAAAGCTCTTATGGGGAAATTATCAGGTAAGGGATTTACAAAAAAACAGAGATTGGAGATCAGCCACAAAATGTGGATTGCTGCACCTCTAATTAGGGAAGTAATTCAGCAGGACATTTTGTTTATTTACTTTTTTTTTTTTTTTTTATTAAACATGGGACTTTTTATTATTTTGCTCACAGTGCCATGTGTTTCTTTCCCACCGGCATGGCTGTGTATAAGAGCTAAGAGTCCCTACAGTATCTTTACTGTACAGTTAGTACATAAGTGTTGGTGTGGGCAGGCTCTTAAATGTTGTTTTTCTTTGGGGAATTACATAGTGTTGGAGTCTTCTTTAAATAATTAGAGTAAACAGCGACCAATTAAAGACCTACTTTATCCCTGCGTGTGTGTGTGTGTATGTGTGTGTTTGTGTGCTCGTGTGCAGATGTTTGAAAAAAATCACCATTTATCTTTAACACCCCCTTGGGGGCAGTAGGCTGTGTATACAAGGCGAGATCTGATCTCTCTTACAAACAGGTCAAGTCATTATCTCTGCTCTGCAGAATGAACTTGATCCAACTCTTCTGAATGCTTTGGCTTTGCTGTTTCTCGCTATGTTCACTTGTTTCAAATGTTGCACTTTTTTTTTTTTTCTCTAACCAGGGCAATCTTAGGCCCATCTCAACCCTGCGTTTCATCATATTTCAGTATGTGGTTTTATGTTGCGTGTGTGTGTGTGTGTGTGAGAGAGAGACAGTGTGGAAGCCTCAGACAAAAGGAGTCAGTCAGTGTGTGAATATTAGGGAGCATATGTGCTTCTACAATGAAACATTTATTTGAATTAGTTTCGTTTTAACAAGTCGGGGTGTTACGTAGACATACCCCCACCAGTGCTCCACCTTCGTGTCCATCATTCAAACCATTTGTGAACACATTGATCCTTGCCTCCTTTTCCCATTTCTCCCTTCCTCCTCCTCCTCCTCCTCTCCCATGCTTTATATTCCCAGGGTTTGCAAGGAGGAGAGTCAGAATGGCTCAGACAGCCATTGATTTTTATTTTATTGGTCTACTTGTGGAAAGAGGACGGATAAGGGAGGGCCTGAGAGATGCAACTATGCTGCTAAGTTTGCACTTAGTAAAGTGTGTGTGTGTGTGTGTGTGTGTGTGTGTGTGTGTGTGTGTGTGTGTGTGTGTGTGTGTGTGTGTGTGTGTGTGTGTGTGTGTGTGTGTGTGTGTGTGTGTGTGTGTGTGTTTAAAGGTGTGGGTTGGGCCTGTCTGCTTATGTCTGTCTCCCCGCCATTGTTTTTGTTTTGGGATAGGGGTGTTATCTATCAGCCTGAAAATTACGTGTGTGTATTTTTTGTGTGCATGTCCAGCTGCCTCTGAGAGCCTTCAAAAGCAGTCTGTACAAGTGTACTGTGTGCCCACCCTTGTGTGTTTTCCGTGTGTACATGTGTGTGTCATTTAAGGAGCTGGGGAATCTGGGGTGCTGATGGAGCTGGTACCAGGGACTTGGACCCAAACAAACACACACACACACACAGCTGAGGTGTATCCCGGTGCTCATTAAAGCTGGTAATAAGGCTGTGCTGCTGAAAGAGGAGGGAAAAAAACAGGCAAAGGGCGGGAGGGAGGACGAGGATGAGAACGGAGAAAAGGGGAGGAAAAAAAGGGAGATTTTAAATTTTAATAACACTGGTACGATTTTGTAAATCTTTCCTGACAGAAAAGTCCTCATTATTTTCATCTGTCTCTGAGGAGCCTCTCCTCCAGCTTTGCCTCCTCGGGTAAACGGACCTTTCTCTCTTTTCCCGATCTTCTGGTCTATGTTTCTCCCCTCGCTCTCCACCTTTCTGTTCCTTCGCTTTCTATTGTTTTTCATTTCCAGCATCTTTATTGTCCATTTCTTTGCTTTTCCTTTCTCTTTGGTTTTCACCAAATCACAACCTGTCAGTGGCTCAGCATCATTGTGGGTCAGAATGCACATCTGCTCCCTTTTGTATGTGCACTCTTTGCAGTCACACATCCTGAATCGCGCGTCTTCCCCACCCCCGCACAGACACACACACATACACACTCCTCACCCTCTGCCTTTATGTCAAGTGTCAAAACTGGAGGATGGATCCGGTTTGATAAGTTCTGTTCTGTCTGGCCACGTGTCAGGACAGGATCAACCATACAGTGGAGGAAAGCTGTGTTCACTTCCCCGCCTCCCAGTTTGTGGGCGTTTTTCTTTCTTATTTAATTCCCTTTTAGGGAGGGTTTAAAGAGGACGTTAATTTCTTTGCCAAACAGGTTTGATTTTTAGTCGTTTCTGTTACCTGAGAAAATGTAACAAAACTATAATTAACTTTTATTAAAGTAGTTATTTAAGTGATGTGATATGTTCAGAGCATAAATTGCATCACTTACAGATAATGATTCTTATATATACAGACTCAATTCCCCTCCAAGGTATAATGGAAAATTAGTAATATTTTCTTCGCCTTATTACTTATATGACCGTTTCAAAGAGTGCACTGACTTTTATACCCCATGCTCATGTGGCAGCTTATGACAATGGTTCCATGCATGTGAAATGCACCGTTTCTACTACATTATACTTGTAAAGCTAAACCGGACTACATGATCTCACATTAAGTCCACGTAGAGCTGATGGTTACATCTGTGTTGTTCTGTATATGCCTTAGGTCCTCTTTTCGGTTTTGGCCTTCATTTCATAAACTTTCTGGATGTTCGTCCCGTTTGAGTTGTTTTAGCCGTTGGCCAAGAGATGATTGAGACTATTTCTACTGCTTTAATCATGCTGTTGGGTTGCTAATAGAAACGCATTGAGAACAACTAAGTTATTACTTGTTGGAGAACTGGACCAGGGGTTAACATATTTTACGCTAAATTTCAATATTGCATTTTGCAGTTAGTATATTTTGAATATTCTCCAGTTACACATGTTGAGGTTTCTCACTTCAGCTTGCTCTGGAGGGGCAAAATCATGCATGTTAGGTTAATGCATGATAACATGCATGTTAGGTTAATCGGTTTCACAAGATTCCTGCTAGGGGTGTGTGTGTGTGTGTGCGTGCAAGGTTGTTTCTCCTGTGTGTCGCTGTGTTGCTCCTGTCATGAACTGGCAACCTGTTCAGAGTCGGCATGGACCAGTGAGACATTTATGGATCTCAATCGTTGCCTTGTTAGAGTTGCTTGATTGCTGCTGAAAACAAATTGTGTATTTCAAATACTGAAATGAAATGTACTTTTTACACTACAAAACAAACATTTGTCAAAGTGTACAAAACACATAAAAAAGGTAATCATCTCAAAGATATATATTATCTTGCTTGAAGTAGTGATAATAATAATAATTTAGATTTTGATCTCACAATGGAGAAATTATCCTCTGCATCCCTTAGGGAGCAGTGGGCTGCCATTGTGCGGCACCCGTGGAGCATTCAGGGGCTAAGGGTCTTGCTCAGGGACCCAGAGGGGCAGGCTGTGGTATTCGAACCAGCGTACTTGTTGCCTCTCCAGGACACAAATGCCTTGCTCTCTAACCACTAGGCCACCACTCCCCCTACTCCCCCTAGCACAGACTGGTGCAGGACAAAACATTAAAGGGAAAGCCCTAAAGACAATAAAATTTTACTGGTTTTTGAATGACTTGAATTAAAATTCTGCAGCTGAATCCTAATTAAAACCAACGAAAATCATCCATTCTCTAATTGGACACTCAGATTTGTGACTCAGTTTTCACTGTCCGTTTAAGGTAGTTAAAGATGGGGCCTGAATATGCACTTTTACCTTCCCTCAGTAGGGAAAGCTTTAATTGTCGATGTTTACATGTGTTTTATATATAAAAGGTTGTCCCTCCTCTGCACAGAGACTCCTTAAGTAAAAATGTGTTTTTATTGGTATTTTTAATATACCCCTGGGACAGAAATAAATAAATAAATAAATTCCACTCTTATCAAATTCAGTACAGCTTTGAACACTTGGCTTTTTGAAGTTATTCTCTGCGGTTTATTTGCTGAAAAACAAGACTCCTCTAATAAATGCTGCTTTATTAGCACTCTGCCTCCTCACTAGAATGGCTAAAACTAACTTCCTGAATTAACAAACACCACAAAGCAAGCTGGCTTCTTCCAAAGCATTCACACACACACTCACACACACATAGACAAGACACATGCTCATCTGGGTATTAGGCTTGGATAAATAATCGTAAATAATGAATGTCAATTAATGGGGGGAGACGTGGCCTTGCTAAGCATGCTCTGATGAGGGCTTCAGTGGGATATCCTCCCCAGCTGCTTTCAGCGAATCATACCAGCCTCATCTAAACACCAGAGTGGTGTTTACTCATTACAACTCATTACAACTTCTCTATTACCAGTTTACTGTAACGTGGGAATCATTTACTGTTTGCCTTTTGTGAGGGTGAAAATGCATTGTAATTGTTATATTTTTGTTTAAGAAGTGGCTTCATATGAACAGAACAGCAGATTGTTGTTTGTTTTATGCATTTATTAAAGGATAAACTCCCTTTAAAGCCCTACTATATATGCAAACAGCATTTGTGGGGATCTCTCTGATGACCAGAGTGTTACATATTGTCTTATTTTTAAAAACAGTTGAATTTGATTGATTTTTGTTTATATATTCATTGATTAGGATGAGGGACGCTGCATATGTGCAGCATTCTGCACAAAATATCCTTTCCTCCACAGTCACAACTTTAAGCTTATTGGCTTGCTGAATCTTTTGTAAGTCTGAGCTAGAGTGTAGAAGGCCATAAGCTCAGACTTGGACTTTAGAGGGTAGCAGGGTGACTGAGCAACCAGCCAGCCAGCCCCTCCTCTCCCCTCCCTGGTGATAAATGGCAACGACATGGGCTATTCATCTCGTGCTTAGAGAAGTGGACAGTGCCCCCCCTGCACGGCCTCTCCCCTATCCCTCCACAAGTCAGCAAATGTGATAATTCTCTCATTTGTCAGAAGCAGCGGAGGGTTAGGAATGTGTTCGTGTGTGTGTTTGCCTTTACATGAGTGTGTGCTCCTGCCAGGATTTCCTGCAGAGTCCTAAAAAGTCTGTAAAAGGATTGAATTTGCCTATATTATGCTCCAACTAGAAAATGGAGTATGGAATATGTTTTAGTTTTCAGACATTGTTCATTTTTATCTATGAGAGAAAAATCTCAGTTTAATTAAATTAAAATTAAATTAAAGGGTTTTCTATTGTGTCCTTTGTTCCCAGTTGTCCACATCACAACTAAAGATTTTTCCCATATAGTTTTAGTTTTTGAGCTACAGCCTGAGAACCCAGACATACAGTGCCTTGAAAAAGTGTCCATACCCCTTGAACTTTTTTTTTTTCAGTTTGCTCACATTAGAATCATAAAGATAGACCAACACAAAGTAGGACATAATTGTGAGGTGAATGAAACACGACTTTTAAAAAGCATTCCCACAGCATAATGCTGCCACCACCATCCTTCACCATTCTGAAGTATGTTCAGAGTGGTGTGCACTGTCAGACTTCCAGAAAGGGAAGATTTGTGGAGTGCGTGACTAATAGTCATCTTAACAGACTCTCCCATCTGAGCTTTGAAACTCTGTAGCTCCTCCAGAGCTAACATAAGCCAGTAGGCTAATTTCCCCACAAATAAACCTCAGAGACGTTCACAGAACTGATGTATTCATACTGGTTTTAAATTACACACAGGTGGACTATATTTACTTAGCATGGCAGTTGTTTATACTGGATTTTATTTGGGGTGTCGGGCAAAGGGAGGGAAATACAAAGGCAGGCCCTAACTTTTAAGGGTTTTTTTTTGGTTGATTTTGTAAACCATGCATAGATTTTGAAAAAGAGCTTATCTAAGTTGGTTCTAATGGTAAAAGAAAGGCAAAAAATGTTACTATCCTGTATAATCTGAATCACGTAGTTTCATAATTTCACTTAGATAATAAACCTCAATGTCTCAAATTCAGCAAGTTTTTCTTTCTTCTCTCTGGTTGTGTTTTGTTGGTTCAGAGCCACTTTAGTTTAGTAAAATGGGATCACTTTAGTGTGCAAAGAACTGAGTTGTTTTATGGTGAATTCCTTCAGTAATTCAGTGATTTTTATTACCTCCAGGAACCTCCTGAGCCACTTTTTCCACTTTACTGTGCAAATAAAGTTTTAGAGCCAGTTTGCAGTGTGTTTATATGGATCTGTCACATTTGTTTATAAGTGTTTTGCTCTGTTTTGGTAGTATACACACATATGGTCTTTTTACACACACTAGACAGGAGTAAACACATCAGATTTTTTTTTTACATTTTTCATTCAACACTATGCGGGTTTTAAGCTCTCATACCAGTGACCACAGAGTAGTAAATACCTCATATCCAGACCTCATGGTAACTATTAAACACAATAAGCCTCCAGTTGATTACTGGTCATTTAATTTGCACATAAACATGTGACTGTTTTACATGTTGACTGCTCTCTGTTGACTCTCTGGGACTTGCGTTAACTTCTCCATCTTTCTCTCTGCAGGATCATCCAGAATCGCATCCTGGTCTTCGTCCTCGGAGCCATCATCCTTCTCACCATCATCTTGGCCATCTATTTAAATCTTCGAAGCCACTGATCTCCGCCGTACACCCATACACAAACACACACCCCCTTCCCTCCTTTCTTCTCAACACAAATATAAACAGAGATGCGTGATTAATAGCGACAAAAGTGTTGTTCCGCTGTAATTAGGACAAATGGTACCCATGAATCATAGTTTCCTAAGCCTGACAGGGAGCTTATTTCCATTTGACTTGACTTTTTTCCTTCTCTTTTTGTTCCTTTTCTCTTCACTTTCTTTTTCTTTTCTTTCTTCTTCTGTACTTAGGCTTTTTTTTCTTTTTTTCGTTTTACCACCTCTAGGGGCAACAGTGGTGTGAAACGTTTTTCTGATGGGTAAAACTTTTCATGTCATCCTCAGTGTAGATTTGCAGCCCATCTTGTTTTGGAACTTGAAGCAAATCCAAATGTGTTCATTTTGCATAAGTGTTTTCCATGTGTTTGGACTTGCATTAAAAGACAGAGTTCTGCACACGCATGCATGCTTGCAGCATTCACAGTCTTGAGTTAGAGGCCCAAGGCTATTACAACAATAATGAACATGCGTACTGTAGTATGTGAGATCTTCTGTAACAAAGTGAGTCAGCCATTTTCTTGAAGCAGAAGACAACACCCACAGATAACACACTCCTGCATTAAAAGGCTCTGCAAAGCCTAAAATAGATTTTTGGAAGAAGGTTCAGGACAGAATGAATTTTGTTCAAACAATTACAAAAAAGGATTGTTTGGATTATTAGGAAGAAGGCTGCATGCATTCAACAATAAATGTGTGACTATTTTCAGAGACTGAGGAAAATAACCAAACCAGATTTTTAAAATCAACCGACCCCAGCCTTGACAAACATAGAGAAGTTTCCATATTTGGTACATTGTTCTCCCAAAACAAACATCATAAATCAGTTCTTTGGGCTTCTTAACTTTCTTTGTTCGATCTTACAGCTTAAATATATATATAATGTATACAGTTTATAGATGTATGTACTAACATTTAAATGGAAGTCATGTATAGTGTTTTTGCTTTCACAACAAGTGATTCTGTTAGTATTTATTTAAGAATGCAGAGGTTTCAATTAAAATGTTTGTGGTAGAGTTGTATGATTTATTTTGTTTCAGGGTTTTGTTTTTTGTTTTTTTTTCTGTTAAGATAAATTTTATTTCTGGACCAAAACGAACTGTGCTGGTTTTTACTTCTCTTTGAGGTTATTTTTCCTCTGTAAATGAATCTTAGCTGTTTTACCACCAGTAATGTTTGTTCTCTGTATTTGATTTAATGTTCTGATGAATGTCACAATACAGGTTTCTGATTATCAGTATGCAGACTGATTATATTATATGATTGCAGGTTTGTCCTGTCAGCTGGTTCTTATGGGCGTTTTGGAAAGTCAAAATTTACAAGCAATGTTATTAAAGTTGTCTCGCGAAAGTATTTACACCCCTTGATTTTTTTTCATTTTTCAATCACAACCCAACCACAAACTTAAATGAACAGAGAGAGAGAGAGAACCACAGTGCCACCACCATGTGTCACTGTGGGGATAATGTGTTCAGAGTGTTTTGCATGTGAGCCACGCAAATTATTTTACAAAAAAGAAACATCTCCCATAGCATAATGCTGCCACTGCCATGTTTTATAGTGGTCATGGTGTGTTCAGAGTGATGTGGATTGTTAGTTTTTCCCCTACAAAGTCAAAAGAGTATATATATAGTTCCATCTGACCACAGCATCTTCTACTTTTTCCCCATGGCTTCTCACAAACCTAAAGCTGATCTTCTTGTGGCTGTTTTTTTAATATTAGCTTTTTCTTGCCACTCTGCAATAAAGGCCAGATTTTTGGAGTGCTGAACTAATAGTTGTCCAGTTGACAGATTCTCCCACCAGAGGTGTGGATCTCTACATCTCCTCCACAGTTACCATGGACCTCTTGGCTGCTACTCAGATTAACACCCTCCTTGT